CTGGGTGTGGGGGCCACACTGCCTTTGGAGCAGAGACAAAGCCTGGCTTGATATTTCTGGCACGTGCAGCAGGGGCGAGGGCTGCGGGACAGATGGCCACAAACAAAGGGGAGGCAAGATGGGAGCTGAACAGATTGGGAATTTCCTGCCCAAACGCTGCTGGGGGTGTGTGGGGAGCAGGACTGACATTCCCCAATGGTCCCCCCAGGTGTTTGGTCCCTTAGGGGGGCACTGACCCCCACAAGCTGCTCTAGCCCCCAAGCTAAACATCCTCATGGAGCCAAGTGGAGAGACCCAAAGTCCTGAGACCTCAAGTCCCAAACTCCTGAGACCTCAAAATCCATTTTACCCCTGATGTGGAGCTGTGAGAGCAGAACCCCCCATTCCTCCAAGCCTCAGTGTGCAGTGGGATGCCAGGAATGGGGGGGGCACTGACCCCCACAAGCTGCTCTAGCCCCCAAGCTAAACATCCTCATGGAGCCAAGTGGAGAGACCCAAAGTCCTGAGACCTCAAGTCCCAAACTCCTGAGACCTCAAAATCCATTTTACCCCTGATGTGGAGCTGTGAGAGCAGAACCCCCCATTCCTCCAAGCCTCAGTGTGCAGTGGGATGCCAGGAATGGGGGTCCCCATGGGGGTCCCTGTCCCAGGCTCTTCCTGGCGTCTTTTCCCACTGTCTCCACAGCTTCCTTATCTCTTCCCAGCAATGTGGCAGCTGCTGCTTATTAATAATCAACTTTTCTGGCTGCCCCCACTGGCAGGACGCCTGCAGCTGGCCCTGCCCACCCGTCCCTTTGTCCCTGAGGCTCCTCCAGACGGGAGAGCTGTGAGGTTAAGGCCGAGAAGAATTGGGCAAAGGGAAAGGCTGAGGACGTGACGCTGCTGGCACTTCCCTGGGAGCTGACTGCAAACACTCCCAGGCTCAGTTTGAGGCACAGGGACAGTGCCCAGAGCTCCTGTCCTTTGTCTGGGGGTGGCTGTGCACTGAGGCAAACCCATGACCCAGTGCCTCGCTGCCTTCTCTGTGCTTCTCCAGAGGGAAATGTTTGGAAGGGTTGTTTCTAAACAGAAATTTGCACCTCCTGTGGAAACATACTACAGGGATGTTTGCAAACAGGCTGGGGAGTGTTGGAGCTGAGAGATGCTGCAAAGGAGGGAAAAAATAGCAAGAGGAGGAATAGAACTGGGGGGGAAAAAAGTGGGAAGAAGTGGAGATGGAATTTGGGGGTTTCAGGGGAGCTCTGGAGAAATCCTGCTGGTCCCCGTGGGGCACCTGTGGGAGCTGCTGGTTTTGAGTCCCAGGAGGGACAGCCCCAAGGTGGGTGCTCAGCTCCAAGCCTGAGTCCCTCTGTGGGAGATGTGGGGTCTGGCAGGAGCAGTGGGAAGTCTCTGACATCCCCCAGCCAAGGAGAGTCCTTGGGAGAACCCCAGATATCACTTTGTTGGGCTGCAGCTGCTGTACCCCCTGCAGCAGCCCCAAAGCCTCCGTGCTCAGGACACACCTCCAAGGGGCTGGGGAAGCTGTTTGTGAGTTGGTTAGGGGTTTCCCCCTCCTTTCTGCTGCTCTGTGGATCTGCACAAAGCCCTGCACTCCCCCTCCTCCCCCTTCCTGGTGGGACACAGGCTGCTGGG